GGGTAGTCTGGTATATAAAAGAGGGTGACAACGTGACGAACAATAATGTGTGTGTAGGTAATGAGTAATTGAACTGCAGTCAGAGAGAGACGTATTGTTGAAGTTAACGTTCGTTTTTACAGCGTTTGTTTTAGCGCGATTGTTGAAATTAAGTGTATCGTAAAGTTATATTCGGAAAGAATAAACCAGTTTTATTAAGTAAGGACTTGTGTCGCTAAAGTTTCGTCGGAACGAAGTTACGGAAAGTTAATTAACAAACGGAGATGTAACAATATATAATAACAAAGTTAATACCATTCACTAGTTTTCAGTGAATACAATACAGAAGTATTCCAGGAAACGTAACATTTTCACCACGTCAATTTGAACATCAAATATTGCTCTTTGATTAGGCAAGATATCCAAATTTCTGCGAACAAACGTGTAACACATTAAAGTTTGGTGAATTCTTCGTCGGCAGAATCTTGTTGCAATTCTACTGTTTTACTTTTGGACAAATTTGGATCAGATAAACATCTGGGAGCGTATTCGTTAATGGCGGCATGAAGGCCTCGTTCGTTTACGCCGATTTGCCTAACCAAGACAGAATTTATAGGATAGCGTACATTTTGATCGCATGGCACGTGAGGAGCACACGCGAGATGATAATCAGAATCGAGATTTTTTATCTTAAGCGTCTGTATATGTCCGTGGTCGTTAATTCCCGTGAGAGAAGCTGCATTTCTGGAGTTCAACTGGATAGTGCCTAATCCTTTAATCAACCCGAATCTTCTCTCCAAGTGTGTCTTTTCGGAAATGTGTAAAGGACTCCAGCTCCCCCTGGTAGTATCCACAATGTCGAATAAACTTGTTCGTGGTGAATACTGGTCGTGTTTCCTCAGAAAATTGGTTGTAGACAGGACGGGGTATTTTGGCTGGGATCTTAAACCTACTTTATGTCGAGCGTTATCTGAAGTGAAACAACAGAATATAGAAACGTTTACAAATGGCCCAATCTAAAATAACGTTTACAGTAACGTAAGACATGATAATATGTATAACATAAACGGCTTATTGCAAACGACCACGCTGTACTATAACAATATCATATTAAGTAACCAAATATCTTGCATTTTTCTTAATGAAAACGATATTCAAACAAATTAATTTACTGTAGACAAAAACACGACGCTAGTTACTTGTTAAAATTGAATACAAAAAAAAGAAAATGAATTCAACAGTAGTACAGGGGGAGACGAATTCAGAAATATTTAAGCCTAAACTGTTTGTAATTTCAATAGGTATGGTATTGAAACTAGATATATTTTGAGTTTGTATACCGTATATAATATGTTATATTTGTTATGCTATACGTATTGAAACTAGATATATTTTGAGTTTGTATACCGTATATAATATGGGTATAGCATAACAAATATAACATATATGCAATATATAACATACTATCTACGGTATATCAGTTCGAAGTTTTTAATAAATAAAGCTTAGAAAATGTATTGTTTAATATATATTTAAATAATTACCTTCTATGGCTATTCCAACGATAGAACAGAATAATTTTTATTAAACTTTTACTAATGTCTTGTTGTCCATTGGAGAGAGAGAGCTTAACATAACTTCGAATAAGTTCTATCGATGACTGATAACTAATTTATTGATTTCGAGTTAGGTAGGAACAACTTTTTTAGGGTAGGAGGATGATATCCCCACAATCATACGGGTTTATTTTAGGAAATACGTAAAAAAAAACTTTCACATTTTGAGAGTTCAATTTTTTTTTCTAAAATATTTTGTAATTTTTTCAAATTGAAGCAAATCTTTAATAATGTGTTCGATTGAACAGTGTTTCTAAATGCAGAATTTGATAATTTGGGGGTTTAAAATTATATTTTTAATTACTTAACTACCAACGTAAAATAACACTATCACGAGCAGGTAGTGTCATAGGAGGTCAGATAATTTGCTATTTTGTCAACCTGAACACCACCTTATGCAACACGAGCTAAACGGTCAGGTCGTAGGACCCTAGGCATCTGTTTACAGCGTTCATATATTGGAGCTACTGATGAAAGTGAAGGATGTTGTTTAACAGCACCCACCGTCATAATGGCTTTGTCTGGCTTTAATCTGAAAATCCAGACTGACCGTCACTATTACAGCTCACCCACAACTGAGCATGTTGAACGGCATCACAACGCTAATCTTGGACTAATCACAAGGCCACGCCCGACCCATGTATCAGATAAACAAAATGTTAGATTTTGTACCTCCAAAGCAGGGTTTAGTGAATGTAACACGTCATTTTTATGGTGTCACCTCTTAAGCACCACCACTCAGTCATAGAAAAAAAAATTGGTTCAAGAGAAAAAAATACATTTTTTTAAACCAAACATAGCAACAACAAATATAATTCCGTAAATACGTCGATTAGCTGTAACCATGGGCATCTACAGAGTTTATTTCAGATGGGGGCAAGCTCTCAGCCCATGAACATTGCCTTGAAGTTTGAATGCGATGCTCTGGCCGATTACGGCTTATTTATTTACAGCTAATTTCGTCATTTATATTCAAATGGTATTATTTTCTAATACACTTTTAAATAAATTATTCAAATAAATGTTCTTCTGAAATTCTAGGGGGCATATTGCCCCCCCCCCCCCCCATACTGCGGACGCCCGATGGCTATAACCGTTTCGGTGGTATTTAGGTAAAATGGTTAACATTTGTACTATAAAGCTTTTAACATAATTTGTCAAGGTGATATAGTTCATAAAAATGACCTTTTGAGGGCTTTAAAGGATCGTTCGAGCGCCCGCATAAAATATCCATGTATCCTTGGCGAAAAGATGGGTTGCGGAGGGCATAAATGATCGGGTTACAAGCAGAGTTCAGATATCCACACCAATAACCCTAAAAAACAAAACATAAACAAACGACGTTATGGTAAATGAGACACAAAAAAATCAGGTAAAAACTTTAAAAATTCATGAGTATTCACAGGCCTCGTAAAATGTTTTCTGTTAAGTAATTAATATATTAACTGCCGATACAAAAGTTCTACCTGCTTAGAGCGAAACTAACATTCAATATGGTTAAATATACTTTTCTTGGGATCTTATTTATAGAGATTACAATGCATTGTTTCATCAACTGCGCCCCCTCGCTGTTAACGATATTTTCGGGCGTAATTTTCCTATTATAATTTGTTATGACAGAAAATTACACTGAAATCAAAGTAAAAATTTTTTAACGAATTGTTAAAAAGATCTTTTCAATTTCGCTTATATCTGTTGATTGTTTTATTTTAAAACTAAGCCGCAGGAAGCCATCTGCTGTGTCCACCGCGGAGAATCGAACCCCGGACCTATATGGGTTGATAACAAGCGAAATAACTTGTATAGCATGAATGTTATACTCTCCAACAAAGCCTTCACATAAATATTAAGAACTAATAATAATCTTGGATCCACACTGCTGTAATTGGGGAAGTGTTAAGTATCTTAATTTGGAAAGTAAGTCGAAATGCATGAATAAGACTGCTGGTAATGGCAAATACTTCATCATAAACTGGTTTAAAAGAAATTTCCAGCAAACAGGGTCATTTATAGCTTCTACTAGTTAGCATGGCTCAAGACTACCGCTAAATTCCATCCGTAAAAACTAACGGAACACGAGACATACGACATGAGAAATTTGTAATTAAGGTCATGTGGGATTCGAACCCGTGATTCTGCCAATAGGGAATTGGCTTTAGAGAATTAAGCGTACAAACTGTGGTAAAAACTAACGTAACATGAGACTTACGACATTCGAAATTTGTAATTAAGGTCATGTAGGATTCGAACCCGTGATTCTGCCAATAGGGAACTGGCTTTAGAGAATTAGGCGACCAAATTGCGACACTCGAAATTTGGTCGCTTGGTTGACTAAAGCCATTTCCTTATTGGCAGAATCTAGGGTTCGAATCCCACCGGACCTTAACTATGAACTCTTAATAAAAAAATCTTAACATCACAGAACTTTTTGGCACTTATATTTAAGCCACTTAAGATAGCACTTCCCACAAAAATAACGCCAATAGAGACTCTAAGCTTGATAGGCCGATTTTCATGACTCGTGAATCCAGCCAGATTCAGATCTTAGCAATCGGTGAAGTTAAAACTGAGATTTGCAGCATTTAAGACGCGATAACGTGATTGGTTAAAACATTCAGCCAATTACCAGAATCGCGAGTTCAACTTTCCCTTCTTCAGAAAAATTCTAACTCTTTATAGCTACACCATATTCTAGACTGATGTCGACAAAGCCAGCAAAGGAAAACTCGTCAGGTGAGTTAGACATTTAATGTTTGACTTGGAATTACATTTAAAACTAAATAATGACTTATTAAGTTGAACGTGTATATCGGGAAGTTTTTAAAGTGGTTTGGAAAAGGTGCCGGTGTGCACGCATTTAGAATTGGCTTGTTGGTGTGGATGGGTATTTGACCTAATGTGAAACATACTCGCGCTATAGTTGCAGAGAAACCAAAACCAAACGTATTTTCCTACGAAACCAAACAGATGTAGGTTAGGTGTTTGGCAGAAATATATCGCCTTTTTTTTCCTTATGGGTATGTCATGTCGCCATTTTTTTTCCTTATGGGTATGTATACTTTAACCTCATATTTTAGCCCCACTTTAACCTCTGATTTCGTTAGGACTAGCCATGCGCGAACTCTACCGATGCGAAGAAAAGTCGTATTAACACAGTTCGTAATTTACGAGTCTTCATGCATTGATGATATTTCAGTATTAGTTATTACATTCGAAACCAAGTGGTTGTGGATTGTGAATTTTATTAACAAAATATGATTTTTTAAAATAAATTTATAAAAATTCTTAACTACTGGATCGACGGGGAATACAAAATGTGTGTATGTTAATTTCTGAACTTCAGACAAAAGGTGGTCTGCGCATAGCCGTCCCTAATTGTGAAATGATGGACTAAACGGAAGACAGCTAGTCAAAAATATCCACCGCCAACCTTTAGGCCTATTTTCTGCCCAAATAGTGGGATTTTATTGTCAATCATGTGACGTACAGACGGCTCTGTATGAAATACGGTTTTTTGAAACGGAACGCGAGCCAGGAACCCTTGGATTAAACCGTGTTATAAATGAAAATAAAAAATTGTTCATAACCGTTCTTTGTCACAAATTGATGGAAGAATTAGGGTGGAACTTGGTAGTAGTTTCTCTAGGGTATGTATTGGTGGAAGAATTAGGGGGAAACTTGGTAGTAGTTTCTTAAGACTTAGACTTGTAGCCTAAAATAACAAAATTTATTTTTACATAGCGTATCAAGAACATTCGGAAACGCGACAATTTATTTTGATATTAAATCAACTATCAACCAAACACATCCAAACAAATTCACATATCTAAGCTTGATATTTGATTTTCGGTTTTCTCAAAAGTCAATCACTGACTTTACTGCATAATAAATATTTAGTGAAGAAAAAAAAAGGACAAAATAAAACTTGATTCGATAAACTCGTCATGTTACCTACCAAAGGATTGAAAATAACAGGTATGATGTGTTTATCTCGAACAAAAGCCACTGAAGTAGAGTACGTTACGTAAGGAGTCCAACACAAGAGAAAACACGTCATCACAAGAAACAGAGTAACAGTCACGCTCTTTTGCTGAACCAGTGAGTTCTCTAGGGTGAAGTTTGACGTTTTGATCATTCGATGCGTGTGTTCGTGAATTTCCTTAAAAATATAATAATATGAGAACATCATCACCGATAGGGGCAAAATGTAGTTAGTGACATTGATAACAATGGAGTGCGAGTAATCAAGCCACTCGTCGGGTAAACTTGGTCCACACTGGGTCGACCCTAGTTTGTAAACTATTTTGTTCCATCCGAACAGTGGAGCACTGGCGCAAAGAGCAGACCAAAACCATATAGTTGCAATAATAGCAGCAATCCTCCTTGAAGTCATGGCATTGCTAAATGGTCGAGTTATTGAAATATATTTGTAGATAGCGATACACATTATCGTCTGAATGGAGCAGATCAAAAACATGGCCATCGTGAATCCATTGAACTTGCAAAGTACGTCTCCAAAAATCCAGTCACCGTTTATCAAAGTAATCAATGATATCGGCATATTGAGAACGGCGGTAAGGGTGTCGGTTACTGCCAAGTTAACAAGAAATACGTTCGTTTTACTTCTCAGGTTTCTCTGTTTAAAGACTGTTAGTATCACTAGAATATTTCCCACTACAGCAGCGAGCATGACCGTAATTATTATTACTGACATCACAACCACAACGGGAAGACCGTAATAATAATACGTTCCCGTAACGTTGAATGTCTGGTTGTTTGGGATGTTCCCCAAAAGATGACTTAACATCTCTTTTGTAACGAGTTTATTGGAATTCTGTGAAGCATAAATATCTGTGTCGCCAAAGATTTCAACGACGAAGACTGAACTCTGATCATGCTCTCAGTTTCATGTTTACACAGACACAGAGGTTGCCGACGGGATACTCCTGAATCGGCAACCTCGGTGTCTGTGCAGGGGGATACTCCTGAATTGCACAGACACCAAGGTTACCGGCGGGATATTCCCGAATTACAGACACCGAGGTTGCCGACGGGATACTTCTGAATTGCACAGACACCGAGGTTACCGGCGGGATACTCCTGAATTGCACAGACACCAAGGTTACCGGCGGGATATTCCCGAATTACAGACACCGAGGTTGCCGACGGGATACTTCTGAATTGCACAGACACCGAGGTTACCGGCCGGGATATTCCTGAAATAGACAAGTGTACGTTGAACATGTTTCCACATTACTCTTTCTTTAAAACAACTGTAAATCAGATCATACTCAAAACACGCTCTCTAAGTAATGGGATCGAACTACCTCGAAATAGCTAATTTCCTCAGCCTCTTCTTTTAGTGAGTCGGTACCCAACTCCTCTACCCTCGGGAGGAGGGGGGGCAGTAGAGCTTTTGTGGGGGCCACCATACAGTAATACGATTTTTAAAATTAATATAATTTTTAAAGTACAAGAAAAATTGAATTTGGGTGGGACAGCGTGAAATTCAGGGGGTGCACCCCCCTCCCTCAGCGCGGCCCCGATTGATTTATTATCTTGTAACTACTAAACACAAAATCGTCCCACGAAATGTGAAACCTGCTTGCTGATGTTACATAGTTTTGATCTGTTGAAGATGGTAATGCTGGACTGATGAGAGCTTACACAGCTCGCAATGTCAGCCCTCAACTGATCCAAATATTCAATGTGAGCAATAAAGTTTCGCATGTTCGTCCCCTCTAGTTGCATCATGGGAACTCTTCTAATTCATCTCTGGTGTTTCAGTAAATTTACACGGGTCAGCACAGTTATGATTTCAGTGACTGTGAGAAAACTGCTACAAAAAGTGCAAATTATCATGAACAGAATACCAAAAAAAAAAAACATTGGATATCCTAGTGCATACCTCATTACAAAGGTGCACCATACTACAAAGTTATATCAGACTGAAGTTATTCAATTATACTTATGACAAGTAGACAGACATAAACGTAATCTAGTAAAATAGACGATGCTATTAAAGTTATACTTAGGTTTGGTTTGTTTGGAAATTCGCGCATCACTACCCACCGCCAACTCTTGGGCTACTCTTTTACCAACGAATAGTGGGACTGACCGTCACATTATAACGCCCCCACGGCTGAAAGGGCGGGCACGTTTGGTGGGACGGGGATTCGAGCCTGCGACCGGCAGATTGGGAGTTGAGCGCCCTAATCACCTGGCCATGACAGGACGTTTTAACCTGAACAAAAGAAAAAAAGATTGTATGTGTACCAATGAAAGTTTCCTCTTTCTATATCCTGCAATTAGCATGTTAATTTGGGACAAAAACATTCTCCATTCTGATTCATTTAAATACACCCTGATTCTCAGTTCTTCACTTCTGTCTCTATATAAAGAGAACAAGGAAATTCTAAACTCTAAGCATAACACAATAGTTAATGTTTACACAGAAGTAACACAATAGTTAATGTTTACACAGAAGTAACACAATAGTTAATGTTTACACAGAAGTAACACAATAGTAATGTTTACACAAAAGTAACACAATAGTAATATTTACACAAAAGGAGAAGTGGTTGACTATCCAAACAGCTGTGTTTCCAATGTGATGACCACTGTCCATTTCTTCTTTATTCCTCCGACGGGTCTCGCCTGTGTTTCCAATGTGTTGACCGACGCGACCCGTCGGAGGAATAAAGAAGAAATGGACAGCGGACGAGACCCAGTGAAGAAATCAAGCACAAATGAACAGAAGTCAACGCATTGAAAGCACAGACGACTGAAGAAAGCAAGCACAAATGGACAGCTGTCAACGCACTGGGAACACAGGCAAGATCTACTAAAAAAAAATCAAGCATTTGCTATCTAGAATAAAGAACGATTGCTCAAACAGAAAACAGTCAAAAACTGGCGGAGGCCCAAAACCTGCTGAGAGCATTTATACAGACATGATACTAAATGTCATATACAATGATGCGTCAAGCCTAGCAGGCATCACACGGAGGTCGATAGATCTATAGATGTCTAGAGACAGAAAGCGAAGACAACAGAGGCCAAGATGACGAAAGCTTCGAAAAATGGAACCCCTCCGAACAGTTTGAGTCTTAAGGTATTTAATTATATAACTAGTAAATTTGTAATTTGCAAAAAAAAGGCATAACGTACATGACAACTATGGCTATCTAAAATACACATGTATAGCTTAATTATGATATTAAAAACTTTGAGAAAAAAAATAGTATACAAGTAATCTACTTAGGATGTGTTATTTTGACCCATTTGAATACTAAATTAGTATACTTATATTGTAAACGAATTACGTTTCTAGAGCACTTAAAGTATAAAACTTTGTATTAGAAGTATGCACAAGAACACTTATACTCAGGACCGGATTAATCTCTCGGGGGACAAGATAGAGCAAGAGCCCATTTATATAGTTTCGTATGTACAACATGAATTATAGTTATTCAAATAGCACTTATATGTTGAACATTACAAATCAGACAAATAAAAAAGTGTACAGCAACAGAATCAAATATTTATTCATAAGCAATATATTTTCTAAAAGTACAACATTATATTTGATCTGTCTATCTATAGATAGTGATTTAAAACTAGTCTATTCACGAAAGGATAAAAAAACAACAACGGAAATTATGAATTATAAACAGAATTCATAGCCATTTAATACTAGTAAAGTTTTTGCTGACTTTTTTTTTGTTAGGCCCTACTTTTAGGGGTAGGGCCATAGCTATAGCTCGGTTAGGTTTTTCATTAATCTAGCCCTGCTTATACATCAAAATGTACTATTAATATAATATTGATGTATTTGAACATTGTTGTTGGAAAGCTGTTAGTATTAATATCGTATAATTTATGTATACTAATTACTATATAATGAACGAACAATATAATTGTTCCTGTACATAAAGTACACAGATATTATTTTCTTAACAATTTAAATCAAATCAAGGCGCTAACACTATAATATTATCTGTATTTCAATCATATATGCTACGTACTTGAAATAGCTTATATCGTTGAAACTGACTTTACATTTTAACGAAATGGTCAACATTGGGAGCACAGACGAGAGCCATTGAGGAAATCAAGTACCAATGGTCAGCGGTCAACGTATTGAAAGCACTGATTTATCGTTTATAACGTTTCAGTAAGGGGAGGGACGATCTCAAGATTCAACTTGTTACGACAGTCTGATAGAACTTAGACGCCTGTTCGTATTATGATGGGTACATGAACCGTCATTTACAAAATAAAGGTTACATTCTCCGCAACTTCCTCGTTTCTTTTCGTGAGAATCAAATTATTTTGATAATGTTAATAAATGTTACTGAACATCTAATAGTTATTTCTTGATACTAAACATGTTTTAAACACGTGCTGTACTAACCTGCATTAGTATGGCGTCTTCGGTCCAAAACTTTGAAAGTGAGGTATACATACACAGACAGTCCTGAAACACCCATAACACTGCGCCTGTCCGTGAATGATAAGATTGGTACAGGAAGCGACTGGAAAATGCATACGTAACATGTTCAAATCAAAGCTACGACTGACATGCTTTATGCGCGTGTCTTTCCTGTGTTTGTGGAGCAGTCTTCGGTTGTTTGGTTGATTTAGAATGACGCTAGTAGGCTTGGGATCGTGTCCAAATAAATATGTAACTTGTAAGTGCAAAAGTAGCCAAGAATATGTTCCAGCAGTCAGCATGAAAAACCCATGTGCTACACGCAACGTATTTGGTGTTCCCTTTCTAGCAGTTCAACTGGCAGGTCAGGTGATACCTTGAGGCTGTAGTCTCATCTATTGTTTTTACTGGAATTACCAACAGTGACGTATATAAAATTACGCTATTGCATTATTCTGGGTAAGAACAGCGCTGTATAGTGTCCCGTACTCTCGGTTAGCTTTAGTTCGTGGGGTAAAGTAAAACCTGTAAACGGAACGGTTTATTAAAACCCGAAACAAGTTATTGCCACAAAATTTAAAATCATAATTCATAGTGAGTAATAAATCAATATGTTTACAAAAAGTTTTAAAATCACACAACAGTCAAAAAATACAATAGACGTAATTGCAAAGTTCTCAAACGTCCTGAACAACCTGAAAAACTCTCGGGAATGGTTTTAATGGTCCAAATAAATATTTCGGTAAGAGTTAAAAACCTTTTAACTCCATCTTACTGGCGCTGCATGCGTTCTCATTCTGATGGTTGTAATTAAGCACAAAGCTACACAATGGGCTATCTGTGCTCTGCCCACCCCGGAGGACCGATATAAAAATAATTTTCCCAGGTCGTTTTTAGTGCCCAATCCTCCCCTGTATGTTAGTCCCATTGTTAGTATTGTTTGGTACAATAATTAATTTTCAAAACTTTTTTTTTTTTTGCTCCTACTTAGTCAGGGCTTAAAACTAAAGTGCACGAGCACATTTGCGACTGCAACGTGCGTCTGCGTGAATATATGATAGGGGCATTAGTCCAAGAAAAAAATGTTTTGCGCATTTGTTTTTCTCTGGACGAGAACGCCCCCCAGTGGCACAGCGGAATGTCTGCGGACTCTCAACGCTAGAAACCGGGTTTCGACACTCGTTGAGTTCAAAGGAAAATAATTTCTAAAAAAGAGAGAGAGAGGCAACAGAGTGATTCCTAACCTATGATACGTACTCATATTATTCATACAGCTCACACAATAAAACGAAATAAAGTGTGCAAAATTTTTCATTTACAATTCAGCAGAGGGCTATAAGAACACAAAATCACATAAACTGAAACTAATTCACACAAAAAGAATTTTAAAAGAGTAATATAGTTACCCTTTCATCCCTCATCCATACCAGAAGCTGTTAACAGGAGATAGAGCACCTGATAAAGCCTGTTTCAAATAGTATACCCCCCCCCCAGTACAACGCTAGAAACCTGGTTTCGATACCCGTGTTAGTAAGAGCACAGATAGCCCTTTCTATAGCTTTGTCCTTAACTTCAAACAAATTCAAATAATTTTTCTTTTAAATTAAACCTTGTTTCAGTAGACGACAGCCCCACCCGCCCCTGCTAACATAGTTTTTCTAATACTTAGCGGATCAAAAGACTATACTATTTTCTATAATTACTAACATCATAAAAAAATGTCCGGAACAGGCTCTATTCGATCAAATAAATAGTTCAAGTTTAATAACTTTTTACTGTAACATACGTTCTCATTCAGGCAGAAAAGTTTGCGTGAAGCACGCTCTTATTCACTGTGCTGTTCACGGATATATTTACATGCAGTTTTAAGGGGAAGATTTTTTTTTATAAACAAAAATACAAAAGTTTGTTACTTTATACGCGTCTGTACATAGTGCTGAGTGTACTAGCGGTCTATATGTACAGAGTATCCGAAAAATCTGGAACCATAGTTGATTTGCAGCTTCTCTAAATGTCGAATATATGACTGATTATGGCGCTGTCAAAGCATAAGAAGGTCGAGTTGATCCTGCACTGTGGCAAAGAAGGTTGGTCCGAGCGGAAGGTTGATGCTGAATTTAACGGACGTGTGTACAAAGAATATGTGTTGTGAGAGGGGCCAGACCCTGACTTAGAGTACTACAAACTGATATTGTTGACAGCTTAGATCAAGGATCCAGTGTTTCTCAGTATGAATTATGTTTCAAATTCTGGATATATATATTGAGAGTTGTTAGTTACCTTGTACCAACAGTTAAGTTAGCACTTAAACAGCATACAATAATTTTATGTTTAGAACCAACTGTTTGAGGTAGAAATAAAGTAGTGAGAGCCTTTCTTTTGGCACTCACGATCTTAAATAATATACTTCCCTCCATATTTTAATGATTTAATAATTACTTTTGACTTCTTCTGAACACAAAATCCAGTTATGTTTTATGAAAATTAGGAATATTGTTACTAGGAAACATCACGTGTTTTGGTGTTTTAGACTCGTCCCCAATACACATGTTTATGGTTCTAGTAGTAGTAGTATCACTGTACTCTAACAATTCAGTTTTTGTTTTTAAATTGTTGATAAGTTAATATTGAAGTTGAACCTTTTTTTGCAAATGTTTAGCCGAAACAAAAATATCATCATCATCCGACCGGACAAAGGAAACAGAGTTGTTTTCCTCCACAAAGTTGACTATGTTAAAAAAATGTTTGATATTCTTAACGACCACAACAAGTTCAAACTTATAAACAAGTAACCATTAACCCATACTCTACAACCTGAAGGGAAAACCCAGAGATTTCTTAGAAACCTAAGCAAAGGAAATATTATTTCTGATTGTGTTTACAATAATCTATATCCCACAGGCTCCCAACCTGGAATATTATATGGTTCTTTGATAGATGCCAGTTTTCCAAACTTCGCTATCCATCAGTACAATACAGAAACAGGGCATCCTATTTCTCTCTCAAACTATAAAATTGTTTCAACAGCCAAACATGACACTGAACTTCTTATAAAAGAAACATTATACATAAAAACTCTTCTCCCGTCCCTAAATAACACACAGACTTCCCTGGATTTAAACCTATTTTAACTATTTCACTTGTGTCTCAGTTTTCATTTTCTCCTGTTATATTTGTATATTCGAATTGTTTATTTCTTATGTATATATTTCTGTTGTGATTACAAATATTGGTTGTTTGTTTTGTAACCCTAGATTACTGATGATGGAAATATGATGATTCCGAAACGTCTAATAAATACTTCCTGTTATTATGTTCGTGTTTTGTTTTATCGAGAGCATTTATCTGCTGTGTTCCCTCTAGTCTTACACTGCTAAATTAGGGACGGCTAGCGCAGATAGCCCTCGTGTAGCTTTGCGCGACATTCATAACAAAAATCTTATATTCACTGGGGAGTCTCTCTCTCTCCCCTGGTCGGAATTTAGGTCGTTTTACGACCTGGGACGGTCAGGTTCTAGTAGACCTCTTCCTCCCTTCTGTGCTGGTACTATATGTTTCTGACTTCTTTGGTTTGGGTTTTGGTACTGGGGACTCTTAAAACTGCCGGGCCTCCTTTTCAAATTATGTACAAACTCTAGAACCACCATGCTTCTGATATGGAAAATAAATACAAAATTACATATATATTTTTCTTTTTTTAACTGAAGATGTTACTATTGCCGTTAATACTAACCATATTTCACAAAATTCTGATGCATAAAAATATTGTAAATATTACAAATATAACAACAGTAGTCCAGGTCCCAGGGCCTAAGGGGGGAGGGATATGCTTTGAGGCTGTAAGGTCACGAGGCCTATGACATTATAGGAGGGTAGTACCAAGGAATGTCACCAACGGGTGGATAGTGAACATTGCAAGAGTGCTGGATAGTTCTATGAAGTAACATCAGATGACCTACAGAGTTTCTCTTTATAATTTCAATATCCATTTATTTAATAACAAACAACGTGTTTAAATACGTGAACTTAATATTTTATTCACGACAACTTGACTATATACAATTTGTCCGTATACTAGCTTAACTTACAATCTACGTTGTTCTAAAACATGTAAACTCTAGGTATATATAAGGAACATATCACACTAACCAAAAGAAACACAGTACAATTTGACTTCGTGGTTTACATTATAACTATTCATACACTAGTTTATATTAGTTCTGCATTATCGTTACGGTATAACTTTCACTTTATATTTTCACTTCGTTATACTCCGGTTAGTTTGCGGTAAGTCCGAGGACAAACAGCCCATTGTATAGTTTTGGGCTTAACAACAAACACCCAAAAGGACAATTTTTCGTATTAACAGAAGTAGTTCAAACTCTATATATTTATCGTATGCATCACAATAACTAATGATGATAATACAATACAGTTTTCATATTTATGCTGTAGTTTTTCTTATATAAACATAAAAATAACGTTTTTTAAATATTAAACTAAAGCATTCAAACTCTATATATTTATCGTATGCATCACACTAAGAGTACAACATTTCCAAACGAAAATGATTTTTTTATAAACAGTGTTTGAACTTGTATTTTCAATCTGTCATATTCTTTAGTTCTATAACCTTTTGACTTTACCCTTAAGTTCTTAAACTTGAGTCTTCCGGCGTGAAAGCGGTAAATTTAAGGATTTCGATTCGGGTTGGATTCGATTTCCCGCGGTGAACACAGCAGATAGTCCAATGTGGCTTTGCTCCAAAACAAACAAACTTACTCTCGCTCGGAAATGATTTCTTCTAACTTCTAGTTAAATATTACACAAATGTAACTTTTGTTAACATATAAATCATAAGTTCATATATCTTATCATTTTATGGATAACGATATTCCAAACGTATGACTTTTCGTGGATCAGTTACAGTCACAAATATAACGCATTTGTAAGCAAATAAGGCCTACTGTTTATTGTTGTATATCAGCCGTAGCTAACGGTAGTCGGCGTTTATTCCAGGAATACTGCTACGCTTGGAAACATAGGCCTATTTTTAGCATTTCTCACGCAGTTCACTGGCCAAAGGCTGAACTATTTGCTTTAAAGCAACAAGACGATGGTGTAATCTGTTTTGTGTTGTTTGTTTGTTTTTCAAAAAATATTTACTTCAACTAAATATTGCCCGAATGTAACGTTTTTTCTTAAGATGTATTTCATAAATCTGTAAATCCTACCGTTTTATGCCTAACCATATTATCAATGTAAAACGTTTCGTATATTAATTCCAGTCACAAATTTTTATTTCCATTTTTATATGTACAGAATTGCAAATTTTTAGACAAGCGTTTCCACAACCCAAAAGAGACTATTTATTTTCTATAAGACAAGAAAAAGAAATCTGCCTCTTCTTTATTTCTCAAATATATAACATTGTACATTTCTACGTTATATTCATGTTGCGACAGATACATGTGTTTCGTCTTTCAGATTTATCCAGAATGTACTTACAAATTCACACAACATATCTTAAAAACCAACGACTAAAGTCCTTGCACTTCAAGTGTGTGTATTATAGTAATTGGTAGATCCAGAGTTAGTATTGGGGGGGGGGCATAGTTTTGGTAAGATGTCGCTTAAGGCGCTCAACGTAACAGTGAGCATCTTAGGGCTCCTTGTGGATTCCAGGGGTGAAGCTTCTGTAAGTGGGGTTCAAAAATGTACTTCACATTGTAAGAAATCATACTAACAAACCATCTGTTTGTGGGCTAAAATCATCATGACAGTTATTTTACTTTCGTTTGGGGGGCCATGGCCACCTCCTGGATCCGCCAGAGATTATAATAACATTGTTAACACAGTTACTTTGTGAAACCGTTATTAGTACCTTAATTATTTGATCACATTGTTCGTTATACGCAGAATTTATGTTAAACTTGTATATCAAAAGATTTCAATTCACTATGCAAATAAGATCACACAATTTTAAAATATAGAAATCTTATCAATTTTAGGCTAATCATCTTGACGCTTACTAAAATGAGTTTATTGATTCTTTTGCTTTACACATTGTTTGCACTTTATATTTCAAAAGACATTAAATGTAATATCAAGATTCAAATTTTGTGCACTAAATCAATACTTATCGTTTATAAACCGAGCTACACGAGGGCTATCTGCGCTAGCCGTCCCTAATTTAGCAGTGTAAGACTAGGGGGAAGGCAGCTAGTCATCACCACCCACCGCCAACTCTTGGGCTACTCTTTTACCAACGAATAGTGGGATTGAACGTCACATTATAACGCCCTCACGGCTGAAAGGGCGAGCATGTTTGGTGTGAGAGGTATTCGAACCCGCGACCCTCAGATTGTCTTTGTATCAATCGTGTATTCCTTCAATTATAATGGCATGTTTCGGTGGTTCCTGTTTGGCTTGTGTAGTATTTGTGTTGCGTGTTTTTTGTTGTTGTTGTTTTCTTTTGTACAAGGATGAATCCTTCTTCATCCTGTTGTTTAGCGTTTGTGTCCAATGTAAATGTGGTTTTATTTCAATTACTTGGTGATTTGATTTTACTGTTTCAGTAATAGATTCTTCATCACTTAAAACATTTTCGTCTGAATTTTGGCTTTCCGCGGAACGTCTACCCCTTTTACGATTTTTTGTTACCTTACTCAGCTGTAATTTAGCACAACAATTAAATCATCTAGGTCTATACTTGAAGCCATATTAATAACACTAGGACCACCCACACTAGACTCATCTAAGTGGGAAGAGGTTGATGTTTTGTTTAAATCACTCAATGTTTTGCTTAAGTCACTCGAAGACCCGGTTACCATCGTCTTCTTTTTGATCTTGATTGTCACGGTACGCCTGATGACCAAGCGTAAACGTTGAATATTGTTGAGGCTTGTTGTTTTAAAGTGTTAATAAGAGATCAGTGAGAGAATATAATCAGAAGTAAATGTGGGCTTTTCTTGCGGAACTAGATTACCATAACAACCATCTGTTGTTGATAGGCTTATTTACTGAAGATTAGGCCCGAATTAGGGTTTTTTGAAGGGAACGAGCCAATACTTTTCACAGAGAGAACAGATACACATATATATACTCTGTGAAAGTTAGCGCGGGAATCCAAAGGATTGAGCATGCGACTTAAAGGAATAAAATCAAAATTGGCGGCCAAACTGATAGCTACACCTATAGCATTGATAAGAATTTTACAGTAAATAATCATTCATTAGTTAGCTAGGCCGCGTATTTTGTTTTACCCACCATCATGCTCCAACTTCCAAGTTGAAGAAATCATATTTCACCACTGACGTTTAAAAATAGAACAGAAGAAGACCTAGGCCAGCTCTTGAAGCATTTCAGGTAGGTAACACCAGGAACAGCTGGACTCAGAACCATGTGGTCCATTTACTAGTTTCGAAATTGGAGAGTCAAGCAGTGGACACTATTGATTACCTGGACAAACATCATCAAGAGGACTGGGATACAGGCGTGTTCAAATTATCTATGGCATTAGCTCGGGAACTTATATGTGCAATTAGAGACGAAGTCTCAGAATTATTTTGGAATTTTAGACAATTTTCTATCCAGCTGTTTGTTTAAATTGTTATAGGTGCAGTAAGGTGCTAAGATTGTATCCATCACACCATGGTCAAAAGAACCCTAAGTACAGTTATCGACACATCTGAGGTGGTAGGTTGAGGATTGAGTAAGCAATATATAACGAACAAAATGAAAGAAACTTAGTGACTTGTTAATTGAATATGCTGATGAATTTGGGGACCAGATGACTGAGTCGAAAAATAGTGACTCATCACAACATATGTATAGACAAAACATGTCCGATAAAGCAACTGCCGTGAGGCTTCGCTAGAGCACTAGGGACTTCACCTTCACTGACGTACACTGGATACAGAACCATACAACCTTCAGAGAATACTTGGTTGTTTCTAGTATCAAGAAGACAGAATGTGCACCAAGGTTGTTTTTTTTTTGCGGATTTTGCTCATGCCTTTCCACTTCGTTTTGAGATAGTATATATGATAATATTGTTATGTATATTATAATTATTGAAATATACATTACAAGAGAGAACTATATCTTTACATAAATCACTAGTTAAGCCGTACTTGGAATTCTGTTCAGCTTTGGTCTCCTTCTCTAAGAAAATTTTGTTTGTTTGTTGTTAAGCCCAAAGTTACCTATATAAATGGCCTATATTAGACTGTGAAGCAATATCTGGTCATGTGACCTCTTTGTTCTATACTGCATATATATATATACTCATGTATATCTGTAAACTACTTGTGTCTGAGGATGACAAAATCTTGTAGAATCGTCGTACATTTATAATAAACTTTTTCATTACCCAGCCAAGCCGTCTCAAAACCGTTCCAAAGGCCAACCATCCTGTTAGAAAAATAAAACCGTCTAGCTGAAGATCACTCCTACTCTGCTGAGTTCCTCAAAAGTAACGAAACTCGATTTTTAGAATTATGTAATGTGTTCATTCTGTTCAGAGGATGGTTCTCAAACTATGGGGGTACATCCTCTGTGGATGTGCCAGAAGGTCAATTTTTAAAAAGAAAGGTTTGGAGATTTTGAAAGAAAAAAGTTATTAGAAAAATAACTCAAATAGTAAAGTAAAAATTATCGCAAATAACTTTTGTTTCTCTTACCAGGTGGCCTTCCCTTACAACCGTGACACGTCAGATTATTCTGGTTGGTTTTACTCACACAGTCTCGCAAATCGTGAACTATGAAGGCGCAAATGTTTTTTGTTTTTTTTTATGTTTTACTTAGTTTATACTCACTATAACAAAATTTGAAAACCACTAACCTATATTAGTAGTTGAGATCTCTTAACTTATTTTCTCATAACAAAAGAAGGGTTAAAGGTGATTTTACTCATATTTACAAGATCATCCGAGGGAACGATATTCGATAAAGTAAAAAACAAAATGTCTGATTCTTTGAGTTGTTTACTGAAAATAATAGGACGAGAAGTTACAAGAATGAGATTTTGTAAACATGACGAGTAGCTTATGGAATTAGTAGTATTTGGTTAGTCCCTTGTAGTCCTTATGCTTTCTTTTCCAATCATAGATGTCGCTAACATTGGTCGGAAACACGAACAAAAACCTGCACTAAAATACTGAAACATTTTATGGTAATTTAAACAAAATACACGCAAGTAAATTCACACTTTTCTGTTGGCAGAGAAGAATGCACCTGCTTTTTCTTTGTTTTTAAATTCAATTACCTACATTACAGCTGAAAACCTGAATTTGCCGATTGTCTGGCACCACAAACTAATTGCGTCCTGCGCTGGTCTTGGAACTTTCATACATCCAACAATGCCCATGCTTTTCACATTATTTTTCTTCCGTTTCGCAATCTATAGAGTGAAAAGAAAAGTAATAGAAGTTAAAGAGACAAAAAATCTTAGCATTCTTTTTGTTTTAGTAATGACATTATTTGTACGGTATATTATCAATAATTTCTCATTGAACGTAAACTAACCATAAAAATAACGTAATGTTTAGGGACAACGAGGGACCTATTGGTCAATCTAGGCTGTCCCATCTTCTAAACGAAACTAAAACTGTTAAATAAAAAAACCCTCAAACCCAGCCCTTATCATTCATATAGTTACTCACTTAAATTTGCTGCCTCCATAATGTCCGAAGGCAATCCGTTCCAAAGGCCAACCATCCTGTTAGAAAAATAAAACTGTCTAGCTGAAGATCAATCCTATTCTACCATTTTTATATAACGAACTGACTAAAACCTGTAGAAAAACATAATGACATAAATAAATACACATCAAAACGACATTCTATAATGTGTAGAATCATTAGTTAAGTAACGTCGCTGTTTTCACCACTTCGTCTTCTCTTTTTTTATAATTTCTTTTGATGTCACCTTTTCTGGTGCGACTAGTTAATAGTATTACTAATATCGCTATCTACACAGTATATATAATATAGTATTCGTCAGTTGTTGTTGTGAGTTTATTGCGTCATACGTTACTAGCCAGTGTAACGTACTCCAAACTTTAAGAACGTGTTGGTTTTATAATACGTATTAATTAACGTGTACTTAACAGGCAGTGATCGGATTACGTAGAGAATGGCAGTGTGATTCGTGAACTTAACTTGTTTGTGTACACTGCATCTCATCGTGTACGATGTTTTAGAAAGAACAGGTAACAATAAGTCTTTCTTTTAATTTTATTTAACCATAGTATAACTATATAACCTGTCAGATGAAACTTTTTGGTATAACTTTAGTTTAGGCCTAACTAAGGACTATCCTTAAATTTAAGCTTTTGCTTGGATTTTGTTTTTTTTAAATTGTAAAATACAAATAAAGTTCAAGCACAGTTAATTTACACAGTTATATCGGTAAATACAGATCCAAGATATAGACAGGAATTTTGAGATAGTAGTGGTACTATTAATACTATTATCAGGCATATATAAATTGTAATAAAGTTTTGAAACAGCTATTTATTAGATAATAATAATATAGATTTATTTCAGTACAATAATTCGTCTCTAAAGGGAGACATGATCATCTACAACATTAAATTTCAAAGTACTCCTATTAGTATTATTATTACTTGTGATATTAAACCTATTCGACTAAACTTCATTTCATTTATATTATAACAACCATCTGTTTTTCCATCCATTCATTTTTCAAGCCAACTTATCCACCACACATGTAGAGAGAATTTTTTACAAGATTTTAATTTTCTAGAGATTCCAAGTACACCAAATCCACACCCTTACCCTCATGAGCAGTAACCTCTTAAAAATAAAAAAAAATGTTAAAAGATTAGTAAGCAAGATTTCTCCTAGCAAAACCATGTTCACTATCCAACAAAATTTTAAACTTTTTGAAATAAATTTACAAAGTGTTTTTTATCAGACTTATAAATTTTTATCCACACTGATGGGAAAACTAATACTAGACCTATAATTACCTTGTAAGTTTTTATTG